CCCGACCGTAGTCAAAGGAAACTTAATTAAGCACCTTTTTCGCTCCCTCACCTGAAGCCTCACCTTTCCCTGTACTTTGTAGCCGGCCGAACGATCTTCCGCCGAACTCGAAGCTTTTTAATTTGTAACTTAAATCGCGGAAATTACAACTATTCGACAACATGACGAGAGAATTCAACGAGCGACTCACGTCGCAGTCGCGACGCGTGTGTTCCAGGTAAAAGAGCGAGAGAGAGAGAGAGAGAGAGAGAAACGTCGACGGATGTCGACGAGGTTGCCTTTCATTAGCGAGAAACACGTTCGATTCAGCGCCAATCATGCGGTACCTACTGATGCTCCAGATACTAATCGCCGTGGTGCAGCCCAACCTTGAAGCCCGGCAGCGTGCATCGAACGTTAGAGGTGAGTTTTACACGCGTTGATTCAGAAGTATCTTCATATATTGAGAGACCCATTCAGTTGACTCGAACGAAATTCTTTCGCTCGGATATGGCGAACAAATGTTCCGGCTGCGGGAACCAAAACTTGATCATCTGGACCGAATCTTTGTCATTTTTGTCTCAGACCGAACCAAACCTTAGTTCTCACAACCGAAACATTTGTTTGCCCATATCCAAACAAGAATTCCATTCGAGTCAACTGAATGGATTTCTTCAATGTATTCTTAAGAAATGCGAACTTCGCCGACACTGAGGAAAAAAGTGGTAGAAATCAAAGAAATTTTACTTGAACGAGTGAACATTTTTCAAGCATGTCTAGTCCATTGAGCAAACGTTATCACCATTGCTGCGATAACTTGATTATTACTTGATTTAACGATTGCGATTCGATCAGTAACTACGCGACGTATTGTTGCGCCGATGCGTAATTGTTCATTGGACAAACTATTTTTTGAATAAGGATGCGGATTTCTTGGCGATTCAACTGCTTTGTTTCTCAGCGTACGGTATATTTTAATCACGTTCGATCATCTCGCGGATTTAAACGCGACTGTATCGTAAACGAAGGAAGGTGATCTCAATATCGATTGTCATCGTCTTCTGCATATTCAGCTTTCCCGCAAGTTTGATCCGACAGTGCAAGAGAGAGAGAGAGAGAGAGAGAGAACAGCATTTATTACATCCTAAGGTAAACCCTCTGAGGACAAGCGAGATACATAGTAAAGTCGAAAAGAAATAACAATACACTCTGCTGATTCTAAATCGCAGAAATAAAACTAATTATGCAAAAGCGAAAGAAAACTAAAAATGAGAACGAAAGGCCGACTTTGCGGAGCGTGGGTTAAAAAGTAACTTTAAGTTATATACGCTTGAGGAAAAGATTGAGCTGTGAATACGTTAATTTTAAACTCTCATAACTAAACGAAATCTTAATCGATATCTAAATTTAAGTTAAACTCAGATCGGCCTATAGAGAGAGAGAGAGAGAGAAAAAGAGAGGCAAAGAGGGAGATTGACGACAAAAGCCGAAATACGACGGGGATCGCGCCGACTCGATTCGCATGCGGCCCCGCGTCCACTTTCTCGAGTTTCTTCGACTCGCATGAAAACTGGCCGCGGCGGGTTCTCGAGCAGAAGCCTTACCTTTGCGGGCCGCGCTCCTATTAAGAGCACGAATAGGAGCGAGCCGCAGACATCTCGACGCGACGCGGCGGCCGGCGCCGGCGGATTTTGCGCAAGCCGGCAGAAGCGGGCAAGAAAGAGAAAGAATCGCAGAACCGCGGGATCGGACGCGCAGTTCCTCCGGATGACCGCCGGGGTGTGTCGTAAAATGCTAATCCCCGGCTTATTTATACGTCGGGACGCCTTAATGGCTGTTAAAGGCTGATGCTGATTTTTAATTATGTCGATAAATATTTCGAGTGTGTCGTCGGCGGCGGTGTGGCTCGGGTCATCACTCGGCTCGCAATTGATTATCGTCTGGCGTCGGCCGCGGAATGACACGAATATCGTGCCCGGTTCTGACGGTTCGAGATTTCGCCGAGCTTATCTCGGGGAATATCGACGGACGTCCGCGGACGGCCGCCGGTTGGCGAACGGCCAATCGATATAATTCTTAGCGCTGCTTCTGACGTGAGCGCCGAGGAGATGCTGATTCCGCAAAGCCGCAACGTCGATCGCCGCTCTCGGGTCCGCGGCGATCTCTCGATCGCGTGGCGATTTATACCGTCGGACATATGTACATAACGGACAAATTAATACAATCAGTTCAGATTATGACGATGTGATAAAAGGCGCGCGTGAGTCACGCGTGTGTGTTGTTCACAAGCCGCTATACTGAGAGAAGAGTTATTTTCAGCCTCAACTATAGGCCTTTCTTTGGTTTGACCACGAAAATAGTAGGTAACAATATGTGCGTAAGTGTAGTTTGGAAGGCTCGGAAGAAAACCGGTTGTTTCCCACTTTCCGCGGATTTTTTCGGTTTCTTGTCTTCTTTACGGAAAAAAAGGCATATATGCGGCAGGTTCTAAACGAACACGCGTGAATTCTTTTAAACGAATTCTACCCTCGAAACGAAAACCGGAGAAATCCGTGGAAAAAAATCGGTTCCTCCGAACCTTCGAAACTATACATGTGTATAAGGCTATTATAATTGACACTACAGTACTTACTACTACATTTGCCACACAGAAAAGAGCGCTAGAATTAAGTAAACGTAATTATCTATTTTTTAGCCTCTTAAATCAAGTAATATTTTTATTAATTCAAGGATCAATCAATGGGCCCGATCAATGTAACGGTTTTCTTACTTTTTCAGAAATTTTTCAACTTAATAGTTACAAATCCCCCCGGGTTTTATTTTTCCCATAGTGTGTACGATCTGCGCGAAACGTCGAAATTTCAATAGCGCTTTGCGCGGCTAGATTCATTCGTCTGCGACCTCCGTCTGGTCTTAAGCTCCATTTACGCGATCGTACTTACGTCGAATCGTTTGTCAACCGCGCGTCCAGAAATGCGACAGGTCGGAGTGATGGATAGCGTCTTTCTTTCCCGGTTTCCCTCGCGCGTTCGCGGAAGCATACGCGCCGGGCCGGCGCGCCGTGGAAAACTCTTCCAACGGGTACTTGGTTAACATCTCGCGCGGAGACAAAGGTCTTCCGACGTGACCGATGCGCGAAGACGGATTTCGCCTGAGCTACGAGAGCGAGGGAGAGATACAAAAAGACCCCGGATTTCACGGGCCGGGGCAACGAGCGATACAAAAACCGAGCCGACACGAGCCGTGAAAGACAATAAGCCGCGGAGAGGAGTTCGCTCTTTCGCCTCCTCGAGCTCGGCGCGCCGCTGAGAGGTATTGCATTCGAGAATCGCCGGCGCGGAATGCGTCCTTTTCAATGTAGATCGCTGTCGGTAGCGTCTCCTAATGAGCCCGAGCACTCGTAAATATTTATTCGTTCCGTAGGAGAAGAGACAATACGCGAGACGTCGAATTATATCCATCGCGGCAGACGAACGGAGAGAGAGAGAGAGAGAGAGGGGGAAGAGAGCCATTTCGAAATTACCCTCTCGTTAGGGGGTAGTTATTATGATCAGGCAAAATTACACTGCGCGCGTGGGGGACTTGTTTACCGAACGGCTCGAAAAGCCGGGCGGTGGGTAACTGACACGGGGTAATTTGTCCGGCTCGTGATAACCGCCGGCATCTCTCTCTCTCTCTCTCTCTGGTGATTGCTGAATTATTAACTCGCCGGAGGTAACGTAATGACGAGACATTAGTGCGGTTTGCGCCTCGTTGCGAGCCGATTGCCTTTCTCTCTCCCAATTTGGAAATTAACCGGTCGTGCCAGCGTGAAGAAATGATCGTGCGCGCATCCTCGCTCCCGCCGCGAGATCGTTTCCGACGAAGCAAGGGGCGCGACGAGTCCGGGAACCGGCGAAGGGTGCGAAGTCGTCGTGTCGAGTTCGCGGGAAACCGAGGACTCGTTGCATGTTGTTGTCGCGCGGAACAAAGGCGAGAAAGCATTTTCCGTAACGAGTCACGGGTATACAGGGTGCGGCGAATGAAGTGTTTTACCTTATTCAACTTACTAACGGTAAAGTTGAGGTCGAATGCGAGCCCACGGCTCGTTTATTTTACAGCGTTTCTCTCAAGATCGCGTGGTCTCGGCTAACCTATTTTTTAAAGCGTTCTGAAAATCCACCTTGTCGTTAAAGAGTTAAATTATCAGTGTTCTTACAAATCTTCAAATAAGAATATCTGCTTATAGACAAGGTTGTGATACTTTGGATTTTATCAACATTTCATTCGCCCGCAAAACCATCCGTGATCAACTCAAAAGCGTTCTTCGCTTTCCTCGAAGTGTATCTCGAGTGTGTTGTCGACCTTACGAAGATCACTCGCGAGAATGACATGTGCCCGATATTCGCCGCCTCTGTCTTCACCCTCGCACGTAGTACACGCCAAGTTCTCGCGACCGCCGGCTGCAATCAATTTTTCGATTGAAAACATATCGATCCTGTCCTCCGCCGTCGATTTAGACGGCGGTGCGGGCCGCCGTTCGAAATTGGTTTCCTCGGGATTGAATGGGATCGCAAAATCGTTTAGACAGACTTCGATTGGAATATATATATATATATATATATAATTGCTCGGAGCAAGCCAATTTACATGTCGGTCGCGCTCGTTACGTATTCCAGTCGGCATTTTTGATAACGGCGAATTTACACTGGCGTCAAAGGGATTACAAGACAGCGTCCGCTCTCCCTCTCCCTCTCGCGAAATAAATTATCGATGAGCGCCGCGCCGGCGGGACAAATAAATGAATAAGCAAACAGACGCGCAGAAACTCGGAAACATCCACGCTCGTTTCGGGAGAGACGCATCGAAATAAAACGCCTGTCCCCGACGATCGACTCGACGAGCGAAATATCGTAATACCGAAACGGTTCCACACACGTGGCTACGTATGAGAAGCCCGTACCCTTTTTATCTTCCGACGGGGAATCACGGACCCGCGATGGCGCCAAACGTCCGCAAAATCGAGGACGAGGAGACATCAGAGAGAAAGAGAAAAAAGACGAGGAGGAAGACGCCGAGCGCCTAGCCGCCGAGCCGATCCGCTCGCTTCGTCCGTAAAACCAACACGACGTGCGAGGCGCCCATTCATGGCTCGAACACGCTGAAAAATCGCCCGTTCGTTCGCCGCATAAATGCAAGGACCGGCCGAGAGCGGCGCGGCGCGGAGTGGGCGTCGCGCGTATATCCGTGGCAGCATATTATAGTATTAAGCGCTGGCACAAAAGCACACGAGAGAAAGAGAGAGAAGGTGAGTACGTGCGTGCGTGCGTGCGGCGACGCATCCGTACGCACGAAGGCGCACCTGCACACGCGCGCGCGCGCGAGGGCGACCGCGTGGGCAAACGCGCGCTGTCAATGGACCCCGATACTCGCTCGCGTGTGAG